TGTGGACACCACCCCATCTCTTGCTCTCTCTCCCCTTGCATATTACACCCCCATCATTCTAGTCTTCTTTCAAGTAATTAAACACCCCTAGAGCCTTTGCTTATGCTAGTTCCCTGGCCTCGCAAGCATTCTTCACACAGCTGGCTTCTTTTCATCCTTCAGGTCTCCTCACGGAGGCCTTCCCAGCCACTGCATGCAAAGCTGCCTCTTTCTTACATCCTTTACTACACTAACTATGATGTGAAATAGGTTTACTTCTTTTTTGTCTGTCTCTCCAGTAGAATTCTTGCTCCATGAAGCCAAAGATCCAGTCGTCCTATTTTACAGTTAAAGCCCCAAGATTTACCACATCTGGCACATTACAGAAGTTAAATAAATACCTTCTGAATGACTGAAAGAATAATTACAGATGGTTTCATATCAATCAATAAGTATGTAAAATATTTCATATGATCATTATGTATTATCAATCCCAATTCTATTTTACCTGTAAATTTTATTTGTATGCTTGCTTTTTATCCATTTTCTTATTCATTACTCATGAAAAAAAAAGTTCAAGTGTCAGCTATATAGACTATAAAGATGAATAACCCATGTTCTTCATGTTTTAAAGATCACATCATCTATTTACCAAGGAAAATCAATGTGGATAAAACAAAATCATACATTTACTAAAAAAGTTATTAACTCAAATACACAGCCTTAAATCTAATTAAAATTGTTGAAATAAGGGGAAGAAAAGATGAGCCCTTTGAAACAAGTATGAGTCTAGTACATCTATCAAAAAAGGAAATCAAGCTAATTAAGCACCACTTTTTCTTAGTGAATCCATTTTGACTCTTGGTGATCATGTCTTTCTTTTTATAAATGTTTGCAGTACATCTTCTAAGTGTAACATATTGTAATAAATTGTAATATCTTATTACTAGGGCTATTTGTCAAATTTAGCTTCTTCTACAATGAGAGTAATTAGGGGAAATCCATTCAATGGTATACTTTGATTTGTCTGTAGCCCCAATATTTAATTTTTATTGAAACACTGTGAAAGAAGAGTGACAATAAACAATGTTTATTGAAAGAGGGCATAAATGAGAAAAGACGGAGAATCTCTGCTGCAGGCAGGTAAACTGCAGCTAAATGTAAGAACTTTCTAGTAGGCAGAGCTGCCTACCTGCAGGCTGCTTGTAAAGCAGAAAGCTCTCCATCACTAAAAATCTTTCAGGAGAGCTAACAGGCCATTTTCCCCAGGATGAGCAGAAACAGTCCTGACTTAGGAGGCAACATTGATCAGATCAGTGTCTTTCAAACTATGGTAAACAAGCACCTTTTAAAATATTTCCAATTTGTAGTGGACCGATACTTTCACAAATTACAAAAGTATCACACATTTGGATGTCACCACAATGTCAAATTGCTACAGCGGCTTCTAAATGCTTACTTTGATTTTTGTTTGAAACTCACTGCATACAGGTGACAAGCCGGCCTGCGTGCATGAGCAAACTATCCTCTGAGTAGCACTGGATTAGAGAGTTTGTAAGAGATTGTTGAGGTTCTACAGTTTTTCAAATTTACCTAGTCTGTCTTCCTTTCTATATTCATTCATTAGGCATAATATCAAACTACTTATTTCTAAACATCTAGCCTCTCCAGCAATTTCAAAAAAACATAATCTAATCTGAATACATTAGATCAACTGAGATTTTATCTCCCTAAATTGAATAGCAAAATTTACTTTTTACCAAAGCACATCTGAATGCTTATTTTTAAAACTGGTTACAAAAAATGTATTTTCAGCCATTACCACACCTACTTTTCTGGTGTCACTTTCTTTGCATAATCTGATAATGAAATGTGTGACAAATTATAGTTGATCACACATCTGAAGTTCTAACTTTGTTTTACTAGCTGGCAGTAAAAGTGACTTGGGGATAAAGTGGGGGTACATTCATGAATTTCAGAAGCATGGAGTAGAGGATTTAAATTTTTTCAACTACCTATGTAACAGTCAGTGCTGATCTGGCCAAAGCAATATGGTGAAGAATTAGAAAAAGAGGAGACAGGGGCGCCTGGGTGGCTCAGTCGGTTAAGCGTCCGACTTCGGCTCAGGTCACGATCTTGCGGTATGTGAGTTCGAGCCCTGCGTCGGGCTCTGTGCTGACTGCTCAGAGCCTGGAGCCTGTTTCAGATTCTGTGTCTCCCTCTCTCTCTGACCCTCCCCCATTCATGCTCTGTCTCTCTCTGTCTCAAAAATAAATAAATGTTAAAAAAAATTATAAAAAAAGAAAGAAAAAGAGGAGACAAAATTAAGAGTTGCCTATTCTCATATTTCCCCCAATACTTCTGGCTTTCTCTCTCTGAGGACAGTGAGGCATTTTTGTTTAAAATCTGTTATCTTCTTCTCATTCAGAACAAAACAAAACAAAAAAATAAAATAAAACAACCCTCCTTCTCAAGAGACAATTTCAGGATTTATGGACTATTATCTCCCAACTCCATCATCTATGAATATTCTCCCTTCAGTAATTCCAGTATTCCTTAATTCACCCTACTTGTACTAGAGCAGTTCTTTTTTATGTTTATTTATTTGAGACAGAGAGAGAATGTATGTGCATGTATGCAGAAGAGGGTCGGGGGTGGGGGGTGGTACAGAGGATACAAAGCAGGCTCTATGCTGACAGCACAGAGCCTGATGTGGGGCTTAAACTCAGGAATTGTGAGATCATGACCTGAGCCAAAGTCAGACGCTTAACCAAGTAAGCCACCCAGGTGTCCCTAGAACAGGAGTTCTTAACTGTGAGCATATGGCTGGGTGTTGAGAGGTCTATGAACTCTCTGAAACTCCAAATGTTTTTTAAAATTGTGGGTGAATGAGCAATTATATGGACAAAATGTACACAGTTGCCAACATATTCTTAAAGGGTACAATAATCCAAAATGATTAAAAGTATCTTTCTTAAAAATGTGATCTGGGGGCACCTGGGTGGCTCAGTTGGTTAAGCGTCCAACTCTTGATTTCAGCTCAGGTCATGATCTCACGGTTTGTGAGTGTGAGCCCCACATCAGGCTCTGTGCTGACAGCATGGAGCCTACTTGGGATTCTCTTTCTCTCCCTCTCTCTGCCTCTCCCCATTCTATCTTTCTCTCAAAAATGAATAAACTTAAAAAAAAAAAAAGTGATCCTAATAGAAATACAGAGTACAAGGGCACCTGGGTGGCTCAGTCGGTTAAACGTCCGACCTCAGCTCAGGTCATGATCTCACAGTTTGTGGGTTCGAGCCCTGTGTTGGGCTCTGTGCTGACAGTTCAGAGCCTGGAGCCTGCCTTGGATTCTGTGTCTCCCTCTCTCTCTGCTCCTCCCTCATTCATGCTCTGTCTCTATCCCTCAAAAATAAATAAAAGTTAAAAAAAGAAAGAAAGAAAAATACAGACTACAGGTTTTTCATTAATTGAATAGGTATATAAAGATATTACATTCTATAACCAAAAGGACTTTAGAAATAAATCCCTTCATCTTCCAGAACATAAAATTGACATTTGGAAAGTTTAAGGAAGTGTTCAAGGCCATATTGCTGGCTGGAAGGCAGAAGCCAGAGAAAAACGCCAGCCTCCTGCTTCCAGGTCCCTTCCCTAACATCCTGCCTCCTACACAGGGCCAGACAGGATTATCAGTAAGCATGCTACAGGCAATCAACAATCCCACCTCTGATAAATATATGACCTCAACACAAATCAAGTAATTTTTTGAATACTACTGTATAAGATACACATTTTCTTTTTTCTTTCACTACAGGTATCTGAAAATAGATGTTCTCTTAGATCCATTTTAGAACTGGTTTCCTTGCCAGTAGGCACCGTCAACAACTTGTCAATCGTCTGAAAGACCTGAGTGCCTGATCCCACTGCAATCAATCAGAGAAGGGCACACACTTGACCTGGAAGGGACAAAGGATGTTTAGGAGAAAGAGGGCTTTAAGGAGGCACTTTAAACACATTTCTGCCTGAGTCAATTACTCAGAAACCCCACAATACAAAGTAATAGTTGAGTAGATCTTTCAGTAACTGTTAAAGCTATTTGGAAATTTTAAGCAAAACCTCTTTTCAAAGTTTATTTTCTGTTTATTCATACTAAAGAATAGCAAATGCAAAAATCAATGATGATGTTTAGTGAAAAGAATTTTTATAGGAAATAATTAAGTAAGAAAACTCAAAAAGAATGCCCTACTTTGGTGTGAGTTAGGATGTGCAGAAATCCAAAATTTGTTTTTAATTTTTTTCAAAATAATTAGAAAACTGAAATCCTGTAAATAAGAATCCAAAAAACCCTTCACTCCCCCCCGCCACCCTTGACTTCTGAAATACAGTGCAACTTTCTACCATCTGTTATTTTAGAGAAGAAACAGTAATGAACATATGGGCTTTCTCTCTCAAGCAGCTGTAGTGTAGTTAAAGTTATAATAATTGTCTTTCTGTAAGATAAATTTACATTAAAAACCTGGCCAGTTAAAAACAAATGGCTCAGCCTCAGAGCCTTCCAGAATAAAATTAAGAAATACAGAATTATCTATGACATATTACAGAGATTTAGAGGATATCCTCTAAATCTTATGTTTTTATGTTTAAGGTTAAACCAACATAACTCATGATGCCCAAATCAGTTTATACAGAGTCTACAATTCATGTTTTCTCTTTCCCAATCAAAATGCTAGGAGCCTCAAACAGTAATTAGGTACACATACATAAAAATCAGTAACTCAATTCTTGAAAGCTTATGATATAAACCCACCACTTCTGTGGGTCAATGAACTCTAACCCAAAAGCATATTTATTTATAAGAAAAATCACAATACATGTGGCACATAATCTTCCATTTCAAATATATGTATGTATGTGTGTGTGTGTGTGTGTATACATATATCACTTATAATGAGTTTAAGTAAACTGAAAAGAAATTCAGAGCAGATTCACATCCACATATTTTGAAAATTAGGAATTTTGCCTACCTTTATCTGGGTGATTCAAAATCATAATTCTCCTATGAGCTGTTCTAATCTTGGCCTTGCCAGCAGATGGGCTGTAAAAAGAAATTAAAGTGCTTATAATAAATAGTGTCAAATGCAGATTATAAATTAACAGTTTATATGGGTTTTAAGGAATTAAAAACTAATGAGAATTTCACCATCTTGTGGATAAATATGAAATTACAGCTTGTCACTTAATTTTACTAACTATCAAAATAAACCATTGATTCAATGTCACATGCATTTTTCTTCCTTTGTAATGCCAATCTCTATTCTTAATCACTTTAAAAAAAAAACACAATATATAGGGTAGGACAGTCACAGTCTATAGATTATACTCAGTTTGAAAACTTATGCTTCAAGTTATTTGAGGAGAAGGTATTGTATATAGTGTGTAATAGACACATATTCAGACTCCAGAGCTTCTAGACTACCAGATTTTAATCCCATTCCTATTTAGGATAGGGGTAACCTTGGTGAAATTTTTTAACCTCCCCATACTTCAGTTTTCTCATTGTAAAACAGGACTCAGAAAGACATATTCCTCACAGAGCAACTGTAAGGACTGAATCAGTTAAAGCCAACAAAGTGCTAGATCAAGTGTTCCAAACTAGTTAGCTTTTATTATTATTACATTTCAACAGAGCATCTCAAAACTCTTCATAACTCATAATTTTTTAATATAATTTATTATTAAATTGGTTTCCATACAATACCCAGTGCTCATCCCAAGAAGTGCCCTCTTCCATGCCCATCACCCACTTTCCCCTCTCCCCTACCCGCCATCAACCCTCAGTTTGTTCTCAGTCCTTAAGAGTCTCTAATGGTTTGCCCCCCTCCGTCTCTGTAACTTTTTTTTCCCTCTTCTCCTCCCCCATGGTCTTCTGTTAGATTTCATAGCTCATAATTTATTTAGCTTGGGAGAAACCTATGGGAAAAGCCTAGCTGTTAGAGCCTATGCTGTAAACAAAAATTAAAGGAGAAAGTTAAATAAACCTAAAATTATTTCAGTAAAAACTAATCTATCCAGTATTGGAAATGTTTCTCACTAGCACATTCTCCAGGCAAGGAAACAAAATTAACACTAACAACAACAAAATTCTGGTATTGCTTATTAATAGCTATATTATCTTATCTAAGCTACTTAGTATTTATGGGTCTCAAATGGGGATAATAGCAACTGACTTAAAGTATAGCATGGCTGTTGAAAAACTCAAAGTAATTTAATTCATATGAATGAACCACACTGCAATAGCTAAAAAGCAGGTGCTTTTAGAGAGATATTCAGACATAGGTTTAACATCCAGATTCCACCACTCATTAGCTACAAAACTCTGTCTTGCTCACTTAAACTCTCCTAAGTAAAATGGACACAATAAACCACCTCCCAGGATTATTCTAAGGATAAATTAGCTAATGCAAGTAAAAGGATTAGCATAACATCATATACAGTGTTCAAAGTGTTCAAAAATAAATAGTTTTTAGTAATTATTATGAAGACAAAGGATGCTTATGAAAGTACATTACATATTTCCTTTCAAAAGTGGGGTATAAATAACCTAATTTGACGTCTCTTGAAGGACTCAAAAGTATTATCATGAGTATAAATTAAGTGCAAAGAAATTCTTAAGGTCTGCAGAGATTTGCTTACCCTTGTTTTAAAGAGTTCTAGAATGCTTTCCATTTAAGTTTTTCTATTTACTTTTAGAACTGCCTCCCTTGCTATCAGCTGTCAAGCCTTGATTCTGCCATTGTTCCAGTCTCTAGCTATTCCTTGACCATTACTTACTACTTCTAATCTTCTGAGGTTAAATACCAGATCACCAAACATGTTAAAGCAATAAGCATATAAAACATTCTTCTATGAATAAAAAATGTCTTGAGTCAAAGACGAAATCAGAAGAGAAAAAATATTTTGAGACAAAAGAAAATGGAAATATAATGTAACAAATTTATAGGATGCAGCAAAAGCAGTTTTAAGAGGAAAGTTTATAGTAATAAATGCCTATATTAAGAAAAAGGAAAGAGCTCAAATAAATAACCTCCTTTATCCCCCAGGGAACTAGAAAAAAAAGGAAAAACTAAGACCAAACTTAGCTGAAGGAAGGAAATAACAAGGATTAGAGTAAAAATAAATGAAATAGTGACTAAAAAGATGACAAAAGATCAATGAAACTAAGTTATTTTTTTTAAAGATAATCAAAATAGACAAACCATTAGCTATACTCACCAAGAAAAAAGAAGACAGTACTCAAATAAAATCAGAAATGAAAGAGAAGACATTAAAAGTGATACCACAGAAATACAAAGGGTCATTAGAGACTATGTTAACAATTATACATCCACAAAATGGAAATGTAGAAGAAACAGATAAATCCCAGAAACGTACAACCTACCAAGATTGAATCAGGATGAAACAGAAAAGCTGAGCAGACCAATTATTAATAATGAGATTAAATCATTAATCAAAAACCTCCCAACAAAGAAAAGCTCAGGACCTATGGCTTAAATGAAATCTAGCAAACATTTAAAGAATACCAATTCCCCTCAAACTTTTCAAAAAACAAGAAGAAACTTTCCAAATTCATTTTATGAGACCAGTATTATCCTGACACCACAAGCGGACAAGGACACTATAGCAAAGAAAATTATAGGTCAATATCCCTGATGAACATAGATGCAAAAGTCCTCAACAAAATATTAGTAAAAGGATCATACATCATGAACAAGTAGGATTACTCCAGGGACGAAAGGATGGTTCAACATCCACCTATCGATGTGAAACACCATAAATGCGAAACAAAATACAGGATAAAAATCATATGATCTCCCCAAAGACACAGAAAAACCATTTGACAAAATTCAGCACCCACTCATGATAAAAACTCTCAACAAAATGGGTATAGAGGGAACATATTTCAACATGATAAAGGCCATATGACAAATGCATAGCAAATATCGCACTCAATGGTGAAAAGCTCAAAGTTTTTCCCCTAAGATCAGATACAACACAAGGTTGCCTGCTCTCACCACTTTTATCCAACATAGTACTAGAAGTCATAGAGCAATTAGGCAAGATAAAGAAATGAAAGGCATCCAAATTGGAAACAAAGAAGTAAAACTGCAGATTACATGATATTATATAAAGAAAACCCTGAAACTTAGAACTGATCAACAAATTCAGTAAAGTTGGAAGATATAAAATCAATATACAAAAATCTGTTACCTTTCTATATACTAATAACAAATAATCAGAAAGAGAAATTAAGAAAACAACCCCACTGGTGCCTGGATGACTCAATCAGTTAAGTATCTGACTCTTGATTTTGACTCGGGTCATGATCTCAGAGTCGTGAGATTAAGCCCCGTATCAGGCTCTGTGCTGGATGTGGAGCCTGCTTAAGATTCTCTCTCTTCCTCTCCCTTTACCCCTACCCCTGCTCACATGTACACACACACACTCTCTCTCTCCAAAAAAAGAAAAAAAGAAAATGATGCCTTTCACAATTGCATCAAGAAGAATAAAATACCTAGTAATAAACTTAATCAATGAAGTTAAGACCTGTACAATGAAAACTGTAAAATTCTGATGAAAGAAATTGAAAACACTAATAAATAGAAAGATATTCCATGCTCATAAGTTGGAAGAAATTTGTTAACGTGTCCATACTATTCAAAGCAATCTACAGATTCAATGAAAGACCTATCAAAATTCCAAAGGCATCTTTCACAAAAATAGAACAAACAATCTTAAAATTTGTATGGAACCACAAAAGACTCCAAACAGCCAAAGATGTTGGTAAATGACAAAGCTGGAGGCATCACACCTCCTGCATTTAAAGTATATTACAAAGCTATAAAAATCAAAACAGTATAATATTAACTTAGAAAGAAACACACAGATCAATGAAACAGTTCTGAGAGAACTCAGAAATAAACCCATGTATATATGGTCAATTAGTTTATGACAAAGGAGCCAAAAATGTAAAACAAGTAAAAGATAGTCTTGTCAATATGGCGTTGGGAAATTTGGACAGCTGACATGCAAAGGAATAAAACTGGACCCTTATCTTATACCATACACAAAATCAACTCGAAATAGATTAAAGCCTTGAACTAAAGACCTGAAACCATAAAACTCCTAGAATAAAACACAGGGGGTAAACTCCTTGACATCGTTCTTGGTAGTAATTTTTAAAATCTGAAATCAAAAGCTAGGCAACAAAATTAAAACAATGGGACTCCATCAAAGTTTAAGAAGTTTCTACACAGAAAGGAAAACCATCAACAAAGTGAAAAAACAACCTATGGAATAAGACAAAATATTTGCAAATCATATATCTGATAAGAGGTTATATCCAAAATATATAAAGAACTCATACAATTCAATAGCAAAGATAGATAGACGGACAGACAGACAGATGATAGATAGATCTCATTTTAAAATGAGTGGAGGATCTCCCTAGACATTTTTCCAAAAACATAAAATGGCAAACAAGTACACGCGAAGGTGATCAGCATCACTGGTCATCAGGGAAAATGCAAATCAAAACAACAATGAAATATCACATCACACCTTCTAGAATGACTACCATCAAAAAGACAAGAGACAAACAAGTGTTAGAAAGATGTGAAGGGAACCCCTGTACACTGTTGGTGGAAATGTAGACTGGTACAGCTACTATGGAACAGTATGGAGGTTCTGAAAAAATTAAAAATAAAACTACCATATGATCCAGCAATTCTACTTCTAGGTATATATCTGAAGGAAATAAAATCACTCTCAGGACGCCTGGGTGGTTCAGTCGGTTCACTGTCCAACTCTTGGTTTCGGCTCGGGTCACGATGTCTTGCTTTTGTGAGTTTGAGCCCTTCATTGGGCTCTGTGCTGACAGTGTGGAGCCTGCTCGGGATTCTCTCTCTCCCTCTCTCTGCCCCTCCTCCACTCATGCTGTCTCTGTCTCTCTCAAAAATAAATGAATAGGGGCGCCTGGGTGGCGCAGTCGTTTAAGCGTCCGACTTCAGCCAGGTCACGATCTCGCGGTCCGTGAGTTTGAGCCCCGCGTCGGGCTCTGGGCTGATGGCTCAGAGCCTAGAGCCTGTTTCCGATTCTGTGCCTCCCTCTCTCTCTGCCCCTCCCCCGTTCATGCTCTGTCTCTCTGTCCCAAAAATAAATAAACGTTCAAAAAAAATAAAAAAATAAAAAATAAATGAATCAACTTAAAAAAAGTATCAGTCTCTCAAAGAGATATCAGTACCCCCATGTTCACTGTAGCAAGACATGGAAACAACCTGTGTCCATGGGCAGATGAATGAATGAAAAATGTCACACACACACACACACACACACACACACACACACACACGACAGAATATTTTTCAGTCATTAAAAAGAAGAAAATCTTGCTACTTGGTGACAACATGAATTGACCCTGACAGCATTATGCTAAGTAAAAAATCAGTCAAAGACAGAAAGACAAATACTGTATGATCTCATTTATATGTGGAATCTAAAAAAGCCAAACTCCCAAAAACAGAACAGACTGGTGGTTGCCAGAGGCAAGAGAAGGGTGGGGGAAATGAGTGAAGGTAGTCAAAAGGTACAACTTACAGTTATGATAAGTGAGTCCTGGGGATGGAATATACAGCATGGTGACTACAGTCAACAATGCTGTAGTTTATATTTGAAAGGTGCTAGAACAGTAGATCTTAAAAGTTCTCATCACAAGAAAAAATACATCTGTAACTATGTGAGGTGAAGGATGTTAACTAAAGTTGTTATGGTAGCCATTTTGCAATCTGTACATATTATACATGTGTCAAATCATTATGTTATACATCTTAAACTAATATACAATGTTATATGTCAATTATATCTCAATGAAACAAGAGGGAAATTTTTTAAATTAAAAAAACCTTTTTAATAATAAAAAAGTCTTTTAGTATAAGGACTTTAGGGTATTCCTTTTGGCTTATGAAAGTCCTTTGGGGGACCATTTCAAACTTACTTTTTGGTTTGTACATACTTCCCGGATAATCAAGACAGTGTCTGATTCTAAAGACTACTAAGTTTTGAAAAATAAGTCATTAAAATTACATCATGGCTGTGAATACTTTATTAATTGCCTATTAAGAAATGGAACACACATTATTTTTTTTAATTCCAGTATGGTTAGTTTCCTGCCGCAAACTTACATTTCTCATTCTCTTGTGTGGTGCTCTACAGCCCTTCTTTCCTTTATTAGTTATACTTTCTAGTTGTTCTGCATGTATTTGACATGTCTTCTTAAGGTAGATACTAAAGAGCAGAAGCTATGATTTGTATCTTAAAATAGCATCCAGTATTGAATATGCAATATGTGCTTGATGCATTTTATATAGTCCTCCAAAACAAAATGGCTCTAAAAGGTAAACTCCTTCAAATAATGGCTCTATATTAGTAAACACTGACACTATAAAGGATTACTGTATTGCAGAAAATCTTAAAATGGAAAAAGAGGCGCTTTAAAAAACATTTCATGAAACAAATCAAATGTGAACCACTAGATAATGAAGATGTAAGTTGGGTAAAATCCAAATGTACATTCTATGTTCTTTGGGGAGAGTATAAATGGTAAGTTGCATCTTACCCTGGATATTAAACTTTAATTTAGCATATAGGACAAAATCTGAAAATTATCCTTGATAATTATATCTCATAGATTATGGTTCATAATCACTTACATTGCCTTTAACACTTGGTTTTGTACATAAAAGTCCATAAAGCATTATGTACAATGTAGTCTGCCAACCACTGAAATATACTGAAGGAAGTAAGAAATGCAAGGAAAGTTTCTATGTACAAGTACGGCCATTCAAAACATTATGCCTTTAAGATAATAATGATCAGAGTCCTAGTGGTGAGCTCTGGGGATAAGGGAAACATTCTTGTGTGCCTGCAGAATTTATTCCCTTTTCCTGACTGCTATATTAAGGCTCTAGGAATTTAATACACTTTAGTACCTTTATTTGTTATTCTAAAGATTAAACGGGATGGGAGAATCCTAGTTCTTAAACAGTACAAAAATTAAATAAAGCTCGGATATATCTCCAGTACGGACAATTTCACCGTGAAATTGAAATATAACTTTAAATATCACGTTGCCTACATCAAGGAATACAAACTGTTCCCAGGAATGCGTGTGACTGGGAGTTGGGAAGTGGGGTTCATGGGACTGAGTGGTGTTCTCTAATCTCGTGGCAAATGGAGCAGTTTTGGTTTCATCACTTTTACTATTGGTCTTTTGAATAACATTTAGCTTAACATAATTCCACAGGAGTGTTCAGAAAGTATGAAAATCTCAAATGTGAATCATTTCAGAAAGTAACAAGTATGAACAATAGTTTTCCTGGGCCGCTCGGTAAAATATTTTAGGCTTCGAGAAATCAGTAAGAATGCATAGACTCATCTAATAGCATATAGAGTATTTTTTTAATAGGTCATCAACAGTCAGCTCCACTGGGCCTTTGCCTACTTGTTACATAGTCTAAGTAGTTTAGATTCAATGATCACAGAGAAGGGAGCCACAGCAACGTATTCACATCTTGAAGAGTCTTGTCAAAAACAACACTACCAGACTGAAAGAAAAGGCTAGAGGAAAGCAAATAAGGGTTACCTTTCTGTTTAATATGTAAAGGGCAAATATTTAGCTTCTGCATTTGTGATACAAACGGGAAGAAAGAGGAGCCAACATTTATTTAGCATCTGTTATTTGGTAGGCACTATTATAAAAAGGTATCGTCATATCATTTTATATTATTTCAACAAGCCTAAATATTACTAACTCCATTCAAAAATGAAGAAACTGAAGGGCAGAAAAGCTAAAAATAACTTGACTGGGATCCTATAATGCAGTGCTTCAGTGACAGAAGCAGGATAAGAATCTGTTTGGCTCAGCTGGTATTTGTTGTTATTTGTTAATACATAAGACATTTATTTGTTATTCTAAAGATTAAACAGGATGGGAGAATCCTAGTTCTTAAACACAGTACAAAAATTAAATAAAGGTCGGATGTATCTCCAGTACAGACAATTTCACCATGAAATTGAAATATAACTTTAAATATCATGTTGCCTACATCAAGAAATACAAACTGTTCCCTGGAATGCACGTGACTGGGACTTGGGAAGTGGGGTTCACGGGACTGAGTGGCGTTCTCTAATCTTGTGGCACTAAGTGCTGTGTTTACGTGCAGAATTATCTATGTATCAGTCTCCACAACAACCCTACCAGACAGAAACTATTATTATCTCTATTTTACAAATGAGGACACTGAGGTCATGCAGCTAGTAAATGGTAAAACTGGTATTCATAGATTCACCTGTTAAGAGCATATACTTTTCAGTTTACATTGTGAGAGAGAGCACATGTGCATACAAGTGAGCAGGGGAGGAGCAGAGAGAGAGAGGGAGGGAGAGAATCCCAAGCAGGTTCCACACTGTCAGCGCAGAGCCAGATCCGGGACTCACTCTCATAAACTGTCAGATCATGGCCTGAGCTGAAATCAGGAGTCTGACACTTAACCAAATGAGCCACCCAGACTCCCTGAGAGTATATACGTTTACCAGCAAATTATCTTTGTGAAATTTTCTACAGTTTCTAGCTTAACAAGATAAACCTTTAAAAACAGAAATCTTAAGTCAACTCCTAATTACCTGTTGTAACAACAGGAATGCTTTGGATGATATCGACTGATATTCTCAAAAACCTTTGTGTTTGGTTTTATAGTAAGTTCCATATTCACATTTCAAGACTATGAATGGGATGCTATGGGGGCCCAATAATAGTTCCAGAAAAATAACAAGGCCATTCTGATTAATATTAAAGCAAAGAATGGTCAGAAATAGAGCCAACTTCCTATTTTGGTTCCTCCCCTACCTAAAACCTATTCTCAGTGAGAAACTTCATCTCTTTTTTTTTTTTATTTTTTTTTTTTTATTTTTTTTTTAACATTTATTTATTTTTGAGACAGAGAGAGACAGAGCATGAACGGGGGGAGGGCCAGAGAGAGAGGGAGACACAGAATCTGAAGCAGGCTCCAGGCTCTGAGCTGTCAGCACAGAGCCTGATGCGGGGCTTGAACTCATGGACCGTGAGATCGTGACCTGAGCGAAGTCAGACGCTCAACCGACTGAGCCACCCAGGCGCCCCAAGAAACTTCATCTCTTATATTTAAATAAAGCACCAAGCTCAACCGAACCATTTCCTTTGCTCCCTACCCCTTATCTTTTCTTGCTAAGTCAAAAGAAATAATAACATGTTTTGGCCTTAAAAATGTGCAAATCTACAAGAGATCCAAAAAACTGTATCAATACAGGACTTTATGACCTATTCTGCTTAATGATGGTGATTAAATCACCAGAAGATCTGCTGCAGATGACATACTGTAACCAACCCCCACAAAAATTTGAGTGGGCTCTAAGGGAACATAAGGTAAACAAATGAATATAGCAACTAGCAACTAAATGGCAGGGGGCATATTCTTAACTTTAAGTGTTAAATGTTATCACAAAGCAATCACACAACATCATTAGCTTTCTCCTATGTGGTCCAAAGTCACACAATAGATACTAGGGTGAAACAATTATAATAAAATATGCTAGATGTCAAATTGTGAAAATAGAAAAGAACTGTGAAATAGATCCTATATTATAACAGAAAATATGATAGATAATAAATTATAAAACTGAGTTCAGAAAGAATGGGGTATCACAGTTAAGGGAGATTTTGACAATTGCTTTGAAATTTTAGTACTGTATTCAAACATAAGAGCTCAGAGCCCCTTGTTAAGGAATAAGGACACATCACATCTTTGCCTGATATTTTTAGGGATTTGGGCTTTTAAAATGTAAAAATTTTGTATTTTTTCCTCTGCTTCCTATTCATAATTTAAAATATAAGGAAAACTTTACTGTAACATTTTCTCCCTTTTTCAAGACAAGCTTGGCCACAGAATAAAATAAGACTTATGTAGCTCACCTACCTTATACCCAAAATAAGACTAGCTTCTCGCCTACTCATTTTCTGTTCAAATCCTCCTTTATAGTAGGATGAAAGGCTCTGTACAGGAAAGAAGGAGCATGAAATAATTAGTTGCATGTATGAGGTGGCAGGACCTCAAACCTATCATAGCTGCAATAAGAGTAATGAATTTTATTACAAGGCAACATGAAACTGTAGGGGGTGGGGGGGGAGGGCACTAAACAAGGATCCTTTACAAGAAACTGTGACCAAGACGAACTTAAAAAACATTAACAATTTTTTCACATTCAAATACATTAATTTTTCTACACTAAGATATAACAGAATCAAAGAAATCAACAGAAGCAAAGGCTCGAAGTCTGCCTAAGCTCTGCAATAATATTCTCATTGGGTAACCTTAACAAGTCATTTAATATTGATATGACACACATCTTTTTTACCCACTGGACTGGCTGATAGAGAAGGAAGAGGAAGAGGAGGAACTGACAAAGTGGGGAGGACGTCAGAATAGCAGACAGCAAGGCCAAGAGAGAGCACAAAACTGGACTGAAAGGTCACTGAAAGGTGGCTGGAAATGCATGAGCAAGGAAGACCGTAGTATCAGAGAGGCAACTAGGGGCCAGATTGTGGGGGGCCCTGTAAGTAGCAGCAATCTTTAGGATTCTATTCTCAATGGTAGGAGAAACCAGGGGACTGGAGTCATGTCATTTGGCTTTCGTTTGAAAGGATTACTCTAAATACCATGTGAAGAATAGGAAGAAAGGTGCAGGAGAGAATCAGGAGACCAGTTAAGAGGAGATAACAATAACCTAGGCAAGAGATGATGGTGGTATGGGCCAACGTGGTAATAGAGGAGGTAGTTTGAAACTGGTCACATTCTAGATGTATTCTGAAAGGAAAACTAATAATTTGCTTGGCAGATTACATAAGGGATATGAAAAAGAGATTAAAGATGATGCAGTAAACACTGCTATACACGTGCAGCTCCCCCTTCAGACGTGAAGGACTTACTTCGTGGACGTTGGGGCTGTTGCTGGCAGACAGCACTCAGCTGTCAGACTCGTTAGAGGAGTTGCCTTGGCTAAAGAAAGTCAAGCTCAGGCCCCCTTCCCAGGGCAGTTTTCTATTTAATGACTGGTTGATATGGGGGTATAAACATTGTGGTTCATTGAGTTCAGTCCTTAAACTGCCTATCTATATTCACTTATCAAGTGACATCATTCAGTCTTGTGGCTCCTTGCCCCAACCTGGGACAACCACAATGAGCTACCCGTGCTTCAGAGCTCACTATGGGGTTGGCTGAGGCCTACTGCAGCCTAAATTGTCCTTCTGTCCTTCCTTCTCTTCCCTTCTGGAGCTGTTGATCCTAAAAGCACTCCCTGATGAACTACCAGCTTGCTAATTTCTGTCTGTCTGCTTTGTCTCAGTTCCAAGGAACTTAAACTGCAAATGACTTTAAGGTTTTTGGCCTAAATTGCCAAACTGCCACTAAATGACTTAGAGAGGGAGCAGTTGTTTATTGAGGGTAATAGGTATCAGGAGACTGGTTTTGGATACATTGAGTTTGAAATGTCTGTTAAATATCTAAATGGAAAAGCCTGACCTGGAGATAACATTTAGGAGTCACGAGTATATATAGACAGTATGTAAAGCCATGAGACTGAATGAGATCACCTAAGGAGTAAGAGTAGGTAAGAAGTCCAAACAGTGAGCCCTAGAGATTGCAGTTTTTAGGGGCACACAAATGGAGAGGAATCCGTAAGCAGACTGAGTAAGACCAGCAGTAAGGCTGAAGGAAAAGCAGCCCAAAGTAAGGAAGGGAAAAAGTTTCAAACAGTTCTGTAGGTCAAATCAGATGTGAGCTGAGAACTGACTGCTATATTTATCAAAGAGGTCAAAGTCTTTGACAAGAGTCGCAGGGAGTAGGAGTGAGAGTCTGATGAGACTGGGTTTGAGAGAGAACAGGAGAGAAGGAATGGGAGACAGCTCTTTAGGAGCTCGTAACAAAGCAAAAGGATGCACGAACTCAACTTTAGAAGGAAAAAAAAAATGCATCGATGACTGTACTGTATACATGTTTCTAAAACATGAAACTCTATTTTTGTAAGGAGGGATAAATAAGTGTATGTTTACATAAAACAAACTCTGAAAGTATATATACACTAAAATGTTACTTCTAGTTGGTGACGTTATGAATAATTTTTTTTCTTCTTTATTTCCTAAGTTTTCAACAATGAACACAGACTATTCGTATAATTTTTTTAAAAAGGAGGACTAAATAAAAGACCAACAAACTTAAAAATGAGTCCCAGGGAGCCAGATCTGGTCATTTATATAAGCTGCTTTCTTTGAACAGCTTGATATAAATTTCCACCTGGGAATAATTCCCTGGCAATTAATTCATTTCACAAACACTTCAGCACCTATTACATGCCAGCAACATTTCTTTTTTTTTTTTTTTTTTTTTTTTTTTAATTTTTTTTTTTTTTTCAACGTTTATTTATTTTTGGGACAGAGAGAGACAGAACATGAACGGGGGAGGGGCAGAGAGAGAGGGAGACACAGAATCGGAAACAGGCTCCAGGCTCTGAGCCATCAGCCCAGAGCCTGATGCGGGGCTCGAACTCACGGACCGCGAGATCGTGACCTGGCTGAAGTCGGACGCTCAACCGACTGCGCCACCCAGGCGCCCCGCCAGCAACATTTCAAAAGAGACAGGTCAAGTTCCATCCTTATCACATAGATGCTAATGTATCAATGCACCAGTGCCGTGAGGGATGTGACGTACTATTTCAAGTTTCAAGTAATTTACAATCTAGAAAGAAAACTAAAAATACCCGTCTCTAAGTTGTAAGGGGAGCAAAAGAATCAAATTATGTAAGTACACATAGTAACCTGGACAAATTATACACACACATGCACGTGGAGATTATATAAAGAACGAGGGGACTTCACAGAGGAATAACAGCTAGTTTTAAGTTTTCTCTCAACAGATCAAAATTTTTACTAGATACGTACCTTACTCCCTGACATTTCTGTAAGTATTTATTTACCTTAGGGAACTCCAAAATCTCAGCATAATAAACATGATAAACTGATGTTTCATGAAGTGTCACCCCATGAGTCAGAAACTCATTAGCCCTAACAGCAGGTATTGTATCAGAGCAATTGATTTACTTTCTGGTTTGCCCAGGTAGAAAAGGAGACACAGAAAAAACTACTTAAATTTTTTTAAAATTCTTTGTAATGTTTATTTATTTTTGAGAGAAACAGAGACACAGCAGAGTGAGTCAGGGAGGGGCAGAGAGAGACAGAATTCGGATTCCACAGAATCCGAAGCAGGCTCCAGGCTCTGAGCTGTCAGCACAGAGCCTGACACAGAGCTCGAACCCACGGACCGTGAGATCAGGACCTCAGCTGATGTTGGATACTTAACCGACTGAGCCACCCCAGTGCCCTAGAAAAAGCTACTTAAAATATAGCATCTAGATGAGACTCTTACCCTAAAACACTGGCCTTCTTATGAATAAGTTAATCTCTGCATATCTATAAGGAACAGTTTAACTATACAAAAACTCCATCAAATAGAGTAAATGGTTATATTTTTCTAACAGAATTTCCAAGAATAGAAACAGGATGCCACGACTTTTATGCTGCCATTTGAAATATACCCTGCACCTTACAAATTATTATTTTGTGTTATTCTATCCATAAATTATATACATAAACAACATACCTCAAAATCATTTTCGTTCTGAAATTAGCATTAAATGCCATGGTGTCACATCTTATCAAAGGAGATATGAAATGAACCAAGTTCAACAAAACTTCGTTAATTGGCTCAGCCAAGAGCTTAAAATACAAAAGCCCTCCACACAACCAAAGAAGAACTATATCATTCCATAATCTTAAGAAGAAATAAATTTACCATAAACTATAATCTCCTATTATTTACAATAATCTATTTCATTTATAGAGCCACAGAGGTACGATTTTAATTTGTGTTGTTTCCATGAAATTCACTTAACCATAAAACAAAATAAGTCCAATTTTTAAAAACTGTATTCAAATAAGGGGACATTTTCACAAATAGAAAAATAAAAGCCTCGGGGCGCCTGGGTGGCTAAGTCGGTTAGATGTCCAACTTGGGCTCAAGTCATGATCACACAGTCCGTGAGTTCGAGCCCCGCATCAGGCTCTGTGCTGACAGCTCGGAGCCTGGAGCCTGCTTTGGATTCTGTGTCTCCCTCTCTCTCTGCCCCTCCCCTGCTCATGCTCTGTCTCTTTCTGTCTCAAAAATAAATAAAAACATTTTAAAAAATTAAAAAGAAAAAGAAAAGCCTCAGAAGAAGATGAGTGACTTGGGTTTCTTCCCCAGGAAAAAAATTAGGGGTAAACACTGACTGAGTTTATAACAGATACTAACATAAGAAAGGTCAAGCAAAAAAACTACTGGTTCAAAACAGAAGATTGAATAAAAAAAAGGTCTTTTGCTTCCTAAAGTGCCTCTGAAATGAGAGAGAAAACAAGAAATGAGACAAAGAGAAAACCAGAAAGCTGAAAACAGGTAAGATTACAATTAAAGACACAAAAACATCACTGCAGCTTCAAACACCAGAGGAAAGTGGAAAAGCCTTCCCAGGAAATAAAGAAAACACTAACTTTAGAGTCAACAAATATAATAATGACATCAGGATAATTAATTAAACCAGAACAGCAGAGATGACCATTTCTAACTCCATTAACACAGAGCATAAGGGGCCCACCACCTGCCATTTTTGCCCTCTGGCTAAGAAAAACAACTACTAGCCTGAGATGTATCTCATTGTGGGTGGTAGGTCCCAACAGAAGCAAAGGAGAGTACTAGCAGATCACACTACAGAACCCAGGAGGCCAGTGAGGGGGACAGTTATGCCAAGGAATGAAATATACTCAGTGCTTAATCTTTCCTCAACCTCTCTCTGGAGGTCTCAAGCCTGCCTCTGGGTTCCTTGCTTTGGAAAACATGCCTGTTGACATAAACCATCTTTGTATTCACAGCCCACTATCAACACTCTTGTTCAATTAAAGTGAATGTACAGGGGCGACCTGGGTGGCTCAGTCCATTAAAGTGTACAACTTTGGCTCAGGTCATGATCTCATGGTCTGTGAGTCCGAGCCCCACGTCAGGCTCTGTGCTGACAGCTCAGAGCCTGGAGCCTGCTTCAGATTCTATGTCTCCCTCTCTCTCTGCCCCTCCCCTGCTTGTGCTCTGTCTCTCAAAAATAAATAAACATTAAAAAAATTTTTTTTAATAAAGTGAGTTTACCAAACTGTTATACTATTATAACATTTATATTATTCAACTCAGTCCTCACAAACATACACCAATAACCAAGGATTGTCAGACATTTGAACAAATCCAATACCACGGGGGGCAATAAAACAGAAGAAAGATGAACAAGTAACAACTGGCTTTTGGAGGAAGGAGGTAAATCAGAAAGCAGAAGAGGACTTGACAACTTTCAAATTAGTATCTTATATCCATAAAAGAGTAAATTGCTATGAAAAGAGATATTAAATATTACTGAAGTAAAACATTTAGTGATGGATTAAATAACAGACTGGCCATTGCTAAAACCCAATCTGGTGATCTGGAAGATAAGCTATGGAAATACTGTGGAATGTAAAACAAAAAGATAAGAAGATGAAAAATAAGAAAGAAACTGTTCAGTGACATAAAGGATAGACTCAGAGGTCCAATGTGTCTCTAGTAAGAGTTCTAGCAACAGAAAAGAGAGAAAATGTAAAAGAAAAAATAACTAAAGAAAAAGTATAGGAGAATCTTCTAGAATAAAAGATAGGGAGTTTTCACTTAAATTTCACTGAAAATACCTGTGAAATTTCAGAACATCAGTAATAAAGAAAAAAAAAAAAACCCAAAACTTCCAGAGTTAAAAAACAAATAAAAATTACCAAAAAACTAAAAACCTAAAACACAAACAACAAAAGAAAACCGAAACAGGCTGCTTACAAAGGAGTAAGAATAAGAACACAAGAAATTCCAGCTGAGAGTCTCAGTTACCAGAAAATGTGGCTGAGAGTATACAGGAAAGCATGGATGTGGGCACTGAGGTTCAGTCTGAGCAGAGATTTTTTTTTAAGTAATCTACACTCAATATGGGGCTCAGACTCATGAGCCTAGAGTTGCAGGCTCCACTGACTGAGCCAGCCAGGTGGCCCCTGAGCAGAAACTTCTGTTCTTCCCTCATACTGGCTCACCAGATTTCCAAGGAGCCAGCAGCTGGTGACTAACAATGAGAGAAAAGAAACAAACCGTTTAGTAGAGAAGAACTTAAAACATTTACCATCCATGCATTCCATATGAAAAAATTACTCCAGGTAGTATTCAAGAAAATGGGGAAAAAAGATTATGAAAATAGGTGAGATTCTGGGACAAAATGATGTTAAATAAAGTACAGAGAAAACAAACTTCAAAATTTAAAAGAACCACATAGAGGCATACAGGTGTCAGTTAAGCATCTGACTTTGGTTCAGGTGATGATCTAGCAGTTCCTGTGTTTGAGCCTCACGGGGATGGGGGGGATGGGGGGGGTGGGGCGGCTCTGTGCTGACAGCTCAGAGCCTGGAGCCTGCTTCAGATTCTGTCTCTCTCTCTCTCTCTCACTGCCCTTCCCCCGCTCACACTCTGTCTCTGTCTCAACAATAAACATTAAAAAAATTTTTTTTTTCATTTTTTTAAATTGCAGAGACAGAGAGAACAAGCGTGAGCTTGAGGAGGTACAGAAAGAAAGGAGGAGACATAATCTAAGCAGGCTCAGGTTCTAATGACCAGCACAAAGCTTCGAAAAGGACTCTAACTCAAGGAGTGTGAGATCATGACCTGAGCTGAAGTCGGATGCTTAACCAACTGAGCCACCCAGGCTCCCTTAAAAAAAAATTTTTTTTAAAAACATAGAAACTTGAACCTTGAATGCTTTCCAGGTTCTCTTGAGTGACAGAGATTTAGTGGCACACAGTTACAAATTCCTATTTTTTTAACAACCCTATTTGGTTTAATAATGAATCATATTAATAACATCAAAACATTGTAAATGCTGTGTTTTATGAAGTTTGACTTTTTGGAATCATTAGTGCCAAGAGAAAGCATGCGCATATTTAATTTCTCAGTTTTCCTAGAATTATTAATATTTAAAGAATTGTTTAAAACACCCTTATCTTCACAGAGGTATAATTATGATGACAGTGACGATGATAAAGATGTTCTAAAAAATATTTTCACTGCAAACTGCAACAGTAGTATTTTGTGGGGGAAAACAGGGCCAGATTTATCAAAAACTGTTTCTTAACTCAAGCCCACAAAGGAAAAGGAAAGAGGGACACATTATTTCTCTATTTAGTATACCCATGACAATCTCTCAAATTATTCTACCTTATCCGTGAGCCTCCACAGAGCAGTGAAAATTTTCTCCTTTTCTTGCTCTCTCTTCCTTTACAATGTTAAATAATGCAGTTCTACAAAACTTGGGAGTCCTTTATTTATAGCATAAATATATCTACTGAATATCACCTTAACAGAAGAGAAATAATTTCTGAAATTCTCTCCATTCATTATTTATAAACATATGGAAAGACGTAAGTAACATTGAATTAAGGAACTATGCCACTATTTTCATTCCTGTATTTCAAGCCACCATTTATCTATTACCTGAAGTATCTCAATACCCTCTTAACTGGATTGAGAGCTTTCACTCTGGCTTGTTCTTGTTGACCCTCCATGCAGCAAAGTGATCATCTAAAATGCAAATCACAGGCACCTGGGTGGCTCAGTTGGTTAAGCGTCTGACTTCGGCTCAGGTCATGATCTCATGGTTCATGAGTTCGAGCCCCGCATCGGGTTCTGTGCTGACAGCTCAGAGCCTGGATAGAGCCTGTTTTGGATTCTGTGTCTCCCTCTCTCTCCGCTCCTGCCCCGCTCACATTCTGTCTCTCAAAATTAAATAAACATTAAAAATAAAATAAAATGCAAATCACATTGCCCCCATGCTCAAAACCTTCCAAAAGCTTTCCATTATACTTGAAGTAAAATTCACAGTTTTGATCATAGTCTATGGGGCCTCAAATGATCTGGTCCCTATTCTACCACTATTCCCTTTGCATATTTCACTGGGGTTATTCTTGCTGCAAAGCTCATTTCCACTTCAGGACCTCTGCAGTGTTTCAGTCCCTAGATAGCTCTTTCTTCAGAGATTCACATCTGCTCTCTCATCTTCTCAGTGAGGCCTTCCCTGACCCATCTAGTATCAATTCCTCTCTGCTGTTATTCTTTAAACTCTTAGCCTGATTCAGTTTTCTTATAAGCAGTCAACACTTCTACATAGTATATACTTTACTTATTCATTCACTTGTTAATTGTCTGTGTCCACTAAAATATACACTCCTAAGGGCAATATCTTTATATGGTCCTTGACTATACCCCACTCTCCACAGTAATGTCTGGCATGTAGAAGGCCCTTAATGAATAATCACTGAACGAATGCTAAATACCTATTAATACTGTAGCCAAATAAAATATAAATAGGAACACAGAAAAAAAACCACACATGCTCCCTCTAATCACAGACATACATTTATAGGTCTGCAAAATCACTTGCAGTTCTTTTGGACCTGAGTTTAATTATTTGTATGTCATCCTTTGAAAGTGTGGTCATTGTTCATGGCTAACTAAGCCTCACAAGCCTGTAATGCCTTTGCTAAAACAAGTCATTCATTCTCCAATTGCTGCAAGCCAAGTTGATCTATCCCATATCTGCTTCTATTTCCCAGAAGTCAACGATTATGCTGCAACACTTCAGTGAGTTTTCTTTGCATTGTGTCCAGTAGTTACAAACCAGTCCACTACGCAGTAGCTTTTAAGTATCTACTATCATTCATTCTTCACTTACATTTAGCTCAGCAGAGTAGCTACAATGCCTATAGATGAATATATAAACCCTATAGGATTTCAGCATTGGAATCTTATAATTTTATGTTTGAAATGATCAGGCGGTGGTACACGGGGATCAGTTTCAAATTTTATGATGAAATAAACTCTTGGGTAAGCTCCATCAGGGCAAGGAACTTGTCTGTTTTATTCATCAACTATATCCAGCTTCTACCACAAGAATTAATATAGACAATCACTAAAAGAATTAATATTAATTAAACAAGGAAGATAAATTACCTCAAAGTTGGTGTAATACTACTAAGAGAGATATAATAATTAGATGTCAAAAGCAGGAATAAGATTAGAAATAAAAATAACGTGACTAAGAGACTGAAACAAATCAAGAAATAGACAAACACCCCAAAGGTATCATGAAGAAAGTAAACTACAAATGTTGAAAAATCTAAGACATTTTCTAAATTACTATCAAATATGGCATATAAACAAAAATCAAAACAAGCCTTCTAACTAAAGCCATCTTTAACTCACAGGAGTGGAAATCTTCTTTGCCGTTTCTGTGATTACTTGTTCTAGAGGTTTCCAGATCTGAAATGCATAGCGACCTAAAAAAACAACAGGAATAAGAGCAAACATATTTTCCATAATATGGAAAGACAATACCCACAAGGTAGTAACTACAATATTTATCGATAGTTTCTTTTCTATGTATTATTTCAATAACTATTTCAAAATTTACCAGAAAGTTCTATTTTTCCAAATGTCTAATTTATTGAATGGAGGAAGCATTTCATTTTAACAGAATTAAAATAGTTATTAGATTGAGGAATGTCTGGGTGGCTCAGCTGGTTCAGCATCCAACTCTTGCAGGTCAGGTCATGATCCCAGGGTCGTGGGATGAGCTCTTGCATTGGGCTCTGTGCTGAGCATAAAACCTGCTTGGGATTCTCTCTTTCTCCCTCTGCCCCTCTCCCCGGCTTGCACATTCTGTCTCTCTCGAAAATAAAAAATAAAATAAAAATAAAAATAAAGTTATTATTTATCAAGTTCTAATTAATGATTATAAAATTAGAAAATGTCAATGTTTATGTATAATATCTTCTATTTATGGGGCGCCTGGGTGGCGCAGTCGGTTAAGCGTCCGACTTCAGCCAGGTCACGATCTCGCGGTCCGTGAGTTCGAGCCCCGCGTCAGGCTCTGGGCTGATGGCTCAGAGCCTGGAGCCTGTTTCCGATTCTGTGTCTCCCTCTCTCTCTGCCCCTCCCCCATTCATGCTCTGTCTCTCTCTGTCCCAAAAAAAATAAATAAACGTTGAAAAAAAAAATTTTTAATATCTTCTATTTATACGATAGGATAGGTAACCAAAAAAAAAAAAAAAAAAAAAATCCTAGTACTCTAACACAAACTATAGATAAAGTCCTTTTATGTATGTGTAGATTCACACATCTGGTTATCTGTACTGATTTTCCCAGTGATAATCACTTTGAAATACTTAAGAGAACAAATACTATTTAGGATCTGTAAAACATAGGAACAATTTTAATGGAATTATCTACAAAGTAAAAAGCAACTATGTAAGAAATATTCACCAAAGATATTTACTGTCAATTTCTCACCAAATTTAACTATTCTCCTAAAAGCATAATTTATTTTGGTGCTTTCTTTTCTTAGGTATCCTAATAATTAAAACTCCTGAGTCATCAATAGCAAAACAGGTCCCAAACTATTTTGAGGGCATAGAACAAGAATAAAATATTACCTGATTAATTTACCTTTTGTACCCTAATCAGCATTATGTACCGATCAACAGTAGTGTCTCTCTTCCCAAAAGTCTTGCTAGAAAACCCACTATGATACTCTGGATTTTATTCAATTTCCAACCATAACCTTCTTTGCAAATCAAGATTTCCACTGGGAAAGCTCAATTACATACACCTCTTAGAAATTTCCTGTCTAGGGGCGCCTGGGTGGCTCAGTCGGTTCGGCGTCAGACTTTGGCCCAGGTCATGATCCCACGCTTCATGGGTTCAAGCCCCACGTCAGGCCATGTGCTGACAGCTCAGAGCGTGGAGCCGGCTTCAGATTCTGTGTCTCCCTCTCTCTCTTCCCCTCTCCTGCTTGCACTCTGTCTCCCAAAAGTAAATAAATATTAAAAAAAGAAAACATTAAAAAAAAAAAAAAAAAGAAGTTACCTGTCTAAACACACTATTATTCCTGTGCAAACATGTGAAAAATAGGATGCTAGATATGGGTGATGGGAAATAGTCAATCCACATAGAAGAGAAAAAGTTCTTGACCTCAAGGAGAGCATTAAATAAAGGGAAATTAAATAAGTTAAATAAGTGACACTGAATTAAGTGAGAGCCTAACTCATCCAAACCTCTTGTCCTATAGATGTCAATTTCCATTTGATTCTACAATAGTACACAGTATAGCTTTTAAATTATCTCAAAATTTAAAATATAAAAGCACATATAATCAGGCAGTCTTGATGAAAAAAGTAGGTAAAGTCTTCAACAAGTGACATCTGAAGGTTTACGTTAACCATAAACCAGAAGACCAAGTTCCAACAAGTCTAAGTGTACTTTCTCCTAAATTCCATTATTCAGTTGCATTTGGCTCTGGAAGAGAGCTGCCTGCTATTAGCATTCTAGTTAGTAATAAGAACTTGGCAAAAGTGTGGTTACACAATTCACACACCAATTCTTCTCATTTTAGAAAGAAGACCCTAGCAAAAGTACAGCATCTGTCTTTAATTTCAAATAAAAATCTTCCATTTGAATTTCAAAATAACTATACCAATTCTGCTAAAATAGTTGATACTAAAATTCACGTTTCATGTTTAGGGCCAAGTTTGTCAGGATTCCTTTTTGGATGATAGTCTTCTCAGAAAACCTCAGTGTAGTCATCACGATGAGACACAAGACGTTGATGGCACAAAGACCAAGAGAATCTGAACCACTGATCTTGATTTTTAAGTGTTTATGCTTAAGGTGCTTTAAGAGAGTTGCGTGAAATTAAGTATCATATAAAACAAAACAAAACAACAATCTTTTATGTCCCATTTTGCAATTGGATCTTACCAACTCCACATAACCACATGGAATGTAGCTTCACTTAAAGAGAAGATCCAACAAACAAAATCAAATCCACGAAACTTAAGAAACACAAATGCTAAAACAAAAAATGTAACAAGAGATGCTCTCAGATCAACACCTGATTAGCAAATAGCTATCCAATTTACAACTGGAAGAGATAACAATTTTGCTTTAAATTTTTATAACTATTCTTTGGTGATTTGGACAGTAAAAGAAATTCTCCCAGGTTTTCAGAAGAAATTACACCAATGTGTTTAAAAAAAATGAAGTAACTAATACATTACAGGGAATAACTATGCTCATCAAAAAAAGTGACTGCTCAGGAAATATGACATCTTACTGCAAGAAAAAAACAAGAATAAACAAACAAAAAAACAAGGGAGAACAGAGGAACCCCATATCACTTACATTGCTTCATACTGAAGAATGTTTTTAAAGTACTTTATAGTTCAAGCTAAAAAAAAATACTATGAAGATCAACTATTATTGGGGCTAGTTTTCCTAGCTTCCTATTGTTAATTTTCTTCACTACACAGTTATCTAGCTTTTGCTACACTGACAAATGTTCAGGGACTATAAATGGAGAAACAAATGAAAATGTATAATGTCTTAAAACCCAAACCTCAGAATACAGAGGGTATCCTCATGAATCACTATAGAAGCTATTTGGAAATATTTCTCCTGCAACATTTATTGAGAAGTATGCTTTACTTATCTTACCTGCAAAGGCAAGAGTTGCAACACCCAGTCCGACAGCTATCAAACTTCTTGCCTGTGAAGGAAAAAAAATGATTATCACTTGTAGTCTTACACTGGCTTTTTTTTTTCTTCAAGTAAACCATTTAAAATAATGAGAATAATTATGTTAAATACTACATTTTACTCAAGCTCTGCTGTGAAAAACAGAATTTTTTTTTGAATCTGCAGTGTCTATGGGATTCTACCTGCTGTGTACCATATTAGCTAATTTTCAGTAAACTTGGGGCACCTGGGTGGTTCAGTAGGTTAAGCATCCAACTTCGGCTCAGGTCATGATCTCATGGCTTGTGAGTCCAAGCCCCGCGTCAGGCTCTGTGCTGACAGCTAACAGCCTGTAGCCCACTTCAGATTCTCTGTCTCCCTCTCTGTCTGCCCCTCCCCTGCTCATGCTCTATATCTCTGTCCTTCTAAATAAATAAACATTAAAAAAAATTAATTTTCAGTAAACTAAAATTATTCTAGATTTCACTTAATTTCTGTATATATGAATTCATTCTACCCAAGAGCTTTTATGCTAAAATATTTTCTATAGGTTATTCTTAATAGTGGTTAAATATATTTATCTTCTACAAAGATAGAAGGAACATATTTCCTTTATATTTGCAATAGCATTTGCTATATTTTAAATTTTGATAAAACATTAGATCTATGTTTAGTAAAGAAGTCAAAGTGCTAAAAATTAGTAAGAATTATGAATAATTTAAAAGTTAGTTTATTTCTACCTTTACAGACCAATGTAAAGTTTTTTAAATAAGAGCCAAGAATTTAGAATCCATAAAGTTATGAGCTCATTCTGATCAAAATCTAATTTAAATTGGTTATATACTCCATATTATTCTATGCTTTTCTCCTTTACCATCTCAGAAAAATATTTAAATCAAAACAGATAAGGTTTACATAACAGAGCTCAATAGCTCCCCCACCCCAACATCCATTCCCCCTTTCTTCTCTAGGATTGGGAATTCCTATTTTTAGTCAGACATATTTCCAAGCCTCCCTTAGACTATGACTATGTTAACTAAATACTGGCTTATAAGATATAAGCAGGGTGGTATATGCAACTTCTGAGAAGTCCTTTGGGGAATGGAAGAAATGTCCTTCTCCTTTTCTATTCCTCCTTCTTACTGGCTAGAAATGTAGATATTCTACCTAGAGCAGCCATGTTGGATAAAGAAGGAAAAACAACGAGATGAAAGGAGACTGTGCCCCAGATGATCAGGGAGACGCCATAGCACCTCAGGACTGCCTCTATTTACACAAGATAAAAATAAAATTCTATCTTTGTAAGCCACTATTATTTTTAGGCGCTTGCAGCCAAATCAAATTTTGATGGATACAGAATTCAGGAGAGACACGATAGAAATGTTTTTCTCTAATGGTGAGAGGTAAATCTGTAAGATCCAGGAAAGACTAAAAAATACATCTAGAAAAAAAATTTCCTCAGTAGGGAACAGAATGGATTCATTTCACACTGGTGCAGAAGTAGTAAGACAGAGGTTGAGCCTGGAGGGACGTTATGAAAGTGCTCTAACTTTAATATCCAGCATCTCTTAGAAATCTAGAGCTCTTCATAGACAAGATGAAGGAAGTTCATCTATGGTTCTCCTCCTCAGTTCTAATGCTAAGATATACTTTTTTACCAGGCAGTAACACTGGATACCCTAGTAAAGAAAGATTTTTTTCCCCCAGCAGAGCAGAGGAAGTCTAGAGCTAGCTACCCAGAGAGGCAAAACAGTTTCCAAAGTTCCCTTCAGGTTGTCTAGACAGGTTGTCTGTCCTGAACAGAAGGGAGGTATAGATTTAAAGAGTATAGATTTAAAGAGGATATTCTGTTGAGGTATATGTTTACCATTTTCTAAAGCTTCCCTGAGGCTGTATGGTTTGAAATTTCCAGTCTTATCTTCCACTGGTTCACTTTAATGAACCTCAGTCCTAACAAACTACTCAACTGTTTCATGTGTGAATTTATTCCTTCCTTATAACCTTGTTTAGTCTTTCATCTGTCTAGAAATATTTATATTTGCCTACCAGATATGTCCTGTTCTCAACATTTTAGTCTAAATCTACCACAGAATTGGAGAAGTCATTTGTAACACATAATAGACAATGAGCATATATCCAAAGACATGTACAGAATTCCTCCATATTACTAGTAAGGGAGACAATCCAACAGAACCATGGGCAAAAGGTCAGGGACTTTATAGAAAAAAATCTAAATGGCTAATAAACATATGAAAAGGTACTCAACTAAAAGAATACCTAGGGGACGCTAACAACAAAATGCTGCAGAAATATTAATACCAGCACATAAAGACCTTTGGCCTTTGTGGAACTTCTGTCCGGTGAGGCATCTCAAGCGCGAAACAACAGTATCTATACTTCCTAGGGTTATTGTGAGGATAAAATGTAATTATGTATGTAAAGGACTTAACACAGTGGGTTGGCACATAGTAAACAGTCAGTAAATGTGAACTGCTTTTAATATTATCAATAAAATAACTACTATTAATTGAATATAAGTGGTATAGCAGAAAAAAGAACAGTGTTCTGCAAACACTTAAATTTGTCTAAGGGAAGATTCATAGAAGTAATTTTTGAGGTAGGCCCTAGAAAATGAGTTGGTCTTCTCTAAATTAAATAATACAAATTCTCACGTTTCAAAAAACCATATTTGAAAAATATAGTCTTAAAAAGTTGTGTTATTCTAATTTCACATTTTTATAGATTAATAATTGTGTCACTTTTACTATTTTAACTACTCAAAATACAAATTGTTGCCTCTACAATTCCAAAGAGATTTTCATTTGGAGGTATTTATATCAGAAACATTAAACCATTAGGCATCTGGTCATTTTTCCCTTTAATTTGTAAATCTAAAATGTTTAACAATATTCAATTGAATTCAACAAATAAGTATTAAGGACTCTGCTGTCATTCTCCATTTGTCCTTCTAGATTCATTCTCCACCCTTCTCTGACTTGCTCTGTACTTCTGCATCCCCTTATCCACATTAGCCAAGTCCTCACTTGCCCACTAGTTTCTGTCTGGGTTTTACCAAAGAGAGGAAGTTTCAAAAAGAACACCAGGCACAGGTGACGAATCCCAGGAGAGGACTCCAAACACTTCTGCCTGTTGCATCTTGGTATCAAAGTTGCCAAGGAAAACATTACACAGTCAAGCACTGAAAAATGCTTTACTTACGCGAAAGAAGACAAAGTTCAGCTCCAGCTGTATGCATCAGTCCGTTATGGCTAATGGGTTCCCCCTCCCCCACCCCCAGTGCTAGCTAACTAAGGGAAATGGGCCTACAAACACCCACCCCTCTGGTGGCGCAACAGAAGAACTCACCCCCTCCACCCCACACCATCCCTGGAGTCTGAAATACTGAAAGCTGAGAGCATATGTGAGAGCCATTGACTATGCTTCAGCAGAACAAATCCCACAAAGGTGGTAATCCCAGCACAGGGTATGTGAACTCCTCATCTCTTGGTAGGGAAGTATGCAGAGCCCAGCACCCACTTTTATGTGGCCAAGTGGGATTGATAACTGTGCACAAAAGACCGTCTTCTTAAACAGGAAGCATCAGCAGAAAAGCAAAAGGTGGAAAAAGATGGAAGTAATGGTACAATTTACTTCCTGTTATGTTTCCTTTTCAGCCACAGCTCCTGTTAAAGAGCTCCTCTTGCATGCCCACGACTCTCATTGGGTTCTGGAACATACATAATTCCCATTCTCTTGCCCCTTTCTCTGGGTGGATAACAGTCTCCAACCATTGTTAGCCTCTGGATGATTCATCACCCATTTCTGGTTACCTTAAACCATGCCTACCTCTGCAAATAATCTCTTCATTAAACTATCTTCAAAAAAAAACCATCCATTACTGCCAGGACCCTCACTGACACAAAAATTACTATACATCAGTCACTATATTATGCACAACAGACATAGCATGTAGCAAGGCAAGGGTCCATATCAAATGAGTCCTATGTAGGACCTGAAACGTGATGGGCCTCTAACGTTTAATCTCCGAAAGACCTTTATTTTTACCCTTATTACAACATTTACTACACTAGTTTATAGTTAGATGTGCTCTGTCTCCTTTAGCTTTTCTACATATAAAGAACCTTTTAAAAATCTGGTGAAATCTATGGGTCACCCCAGAAAACCACACATATGTACACACAGCAAATTTTTTATACATAATTTGAAGGGATCCAAAGGTTTCTCTGAAGCCCTTTAGTTCACAAGCCCAACATGAGAACCTCCATAAAAAATATATAAATAAATAAGCTCGCTAAGGTCAAAAAGGGTGTATCATTTACCTTCATGGTCCTAGAGCACGAGAAGACCTGCCACATATACTTCACTTTACATTCATTCAACAATACAAGAAAAGTATTAATAATACAATAATATATCAAAATAATACCAGAAAAATAACACCGACAACAGAGTTAACCTCTGTTTCTCAAGACTAACTTTATAGAAAGATAAACATGAAAAGGCCTACAACCTTTAAAATCAAAAAGAAACCAAACCCAAATTAGGTAGATCACTGGCGCAAGTAAGAATGTTCAATATATGACCAAAAACTGCAGTCAAATCTTATTTACCCACAGTGAATGGACAAAGCTGTGCACAGCTTTCATCAAAAACTCATCTTTCTGGGGCACCTAGGTGGCTCAGTCGGTTGAGCGTCCGGCTTTGGCTCAGGTCATGATCTCATGGTTTGTGAGTTTGAGCACAGCATCAGGCTCTGTGCTGACAGCTCAGAACCTGGAGCCTGCTTTGGATTCTCCCTCTTTCTTTGCCCATCCTCCACTCACGCTTGGTCTCTCTCTCTCTCTCAAAAATAAATAAATATTAAAAAAAAAAAACCAACCTCATTTTCCTTATTGGAAGAGAACTATAACTGATTTACCTCCTTAATTATATTTTAATTAATTGATATTAAAATAGTTTACATTTTTGGGGGCGCCTGGGTGGCGCAGTCGGTTAAGCGTCCGACTTCAG